ACCAATTGAAACACCAATTATGGACTGCAGCGATGACTTACCGATGACAAAATGCAAAACCAAAACTGTTGACCACAATTAGAGACTTACACTGATCAAGCTTTGTACATTTCATCGTTACAATAACCACATCTAAAGCATCCCCGCATATGTTTGCTGATTCTGAATTCAAGTTGTTAACTGAGATTTACTAAATTAAAAACTCATCAATTATTTAACCTTTAACAACCAATATCGCTGCATAACATTCTGTAGTTTGCGCTTTTTCTTTTTTAAATCAAAAATATCACTTCATCAAGTTACGCAAACTTTTTTTTCCTTACAACCTTCATTTAATTGCCGTCTAATTTACCAAATATTTAGCTCTATCCATGCTCAACAAATTATTCTCAATTTACACAAAATTTCTGTTGCAAATAACTATAACAGATAATATATAACAACGACAACAACGTGTTTAATTTCCTGTTAATCGTTGGTGTGTCTAAAAAAAAGCCCATAAAAACGTAATTGTGATACAGGTCTCTAGCCGATTCATCATCAATAAATTCCCTTAATTCCCACTAAAGCCCTACAAATGCCTGCTTGAAACCACCACTGTAAAGAACGTTATCTAAACTGACTAAAAAATAAACAAATAGGAAAAAAAGCAGAAGAAGCAGCAACAAAGAGACGACCGACTAATGAAGCTATAATTTCGCCAGAACAAATAAATTATTTGTATCGGTTGATTAAAATCAACCCTTAACTACAACAACATATCAAATCATATGCTGCACCAATGACAAAGTGCAAAACCAAGACAACAACTTTACCTAGCAGCTGATTTAAGTACTGACACGTGACACCCATCTAACACTTTTGTTACCTTCATCATTGTCACCCAGTATCAAAGTATAAACGGCGACACCAAACTCAAACAAAAACACCTTCAGAAAATGCATCAAAAATAAATTTACACGACAACACACAATAAGTTTGAGTCATTGAACTGCCAAAAACCATCCATCTGATTCATAAACAGACACAAAACTACGTAATAGAAGTCTGTTTTAATTTTTGTAGT